TGTTTGCTTTTTTTAGCAAACGGTAAATTCATCAAAATGAGCCTTTACTCAGGCTTCAATCTTGCTCCTGGTAAAGTTGAAAGTTTACAATGAGAAAAATCGGATGTAAACGTTGTGTTTTTTCCGCAGCTCTTTTACTGCCATAGACGATGGCATACAAAAGCATGAAAAAGAACAGTTCTTGACACACATAGCGACTATGTTTCTGCAAGTTTGGTGAGAATTATAGATAAACGAAGATCTCAGCATTTTCTGAAGAAAAATGATCTGCGGTGCCTATTTATGGAGAGCTTAGCAATGTTTTGGAGCAGTAATAAGTGCAACGGTTTGGGATGCGAGGCATTACACGCACTGCCGCTGGTACCACATCATTCCCTTCTACAGTAGCCCTCTCTACCTCGCGTGGGTAACAAATTTATACCAAATTTGCCTGAAAACTGTCTCCATGCATGGCTGGAAACGCCGTACTTGAGTTATCGTGGTATTCCAAGAAAAATTAATTGTATAAAAACTAAGCAACATGAAGAGGAAAGAATTTTCAAGTAATAATTGAATCAACGCAAAATTCGAAACTCGCTGATTACCGGTGTAAGACAACGAACCGAAAAAATACGCACAGATATCTGCACAATATGTAAAGTAGGGTCGCATAAATGAAGTTGAAATAAGGCAGTTCAGAGGTTCAGAAACCATCAATGCTGTACATTTCGATACCACCTAACAAAGGTCCATTCCTGAATAAATCATAGTATTTTGTACGGAATTCGAGAAAGCGGTCGTTAACAAAAGCCCTGCGTCACACAATATTTTTAGCACTCTAGAGGCATGACGTTTTAGACCAATTTCCTCGTACAATTGCAAGAAATTGTCGTCTACTACTAGAATTACGGTAGTAAATTGTTTGCAAAAAACTGGTATTAATGGATAGGACTACCAAGGAAACCAGAGAACATACAGTTGATTTTTCATGCTACAGATCTCTTTAATCTGAATTGCCTTGCTTTGAGAAGAAGGTGAGAGGACCGCAACAATCGTCGCATTAAATCGAACTTGTAGTCAATTTTTCATAACTACTTAGGAAAACAGAAGTAATAAAAGTAAATCACATTTCTAACTTTTTCACAAACAGTTTGCTTATGCCTTCCAACGGTTTACCGCCTCATCGCGGCTAGGAGGTATTCCTGGGTGTCGGACTGCGATGTACAGCGGGAGGGTTCGTCTCCCCGGTAAGGTCTCCCAAGCTGAGAAGGAGTCTGGCGTTTCCAACAGGAAACCTAGCTGAGAGTAAACCAACACAGGATCCGCCACCGTCTTGGTATCAAAGTCGCATGATGGCAAATCTCCCTGTGATCAACAAGGGTTGCGATTGCCCGTTGTGGTGAAGACGTGGGGCAGATTTTGGCCAGGCTGACCTCGGGTTTCCAAGGAGCCACAATGGCTTAACCAGCAAATTTCCGATAAATGGTGATTATGTTGGTGCTCGCACAACTAATGAGGACGGGCCGTTTAAGTGTCAAGTGTCAAGTTTGCTTAATGGAGAAATGCAGAATAAGGTCTTTGTTTTCTTCTTTAGCAAATTTTGACATAACGACTGTACTGGATGTTTCTATAGTTTCACTTTTCACATTTCGTAAAATGCTCTCCAACGAGAGTAGCTGAATCACGTGAATGGCTTGTATGACGAAGAGTCATGAAGTTACTAGCACATTTCTCAATTAGTTGCTATTTCACCGGCTTTATAGGGACCTTTTTTGTAGTACTGCCGAAAAAAATTGCGTCTGGTTGTTCCCTGGTTGTCATCACAGGTACTTTCTAGTCACTGTGCCTTCCATAACAGATTCCTGGCAGTACTTTTATTTTCCAGATTTACCGATTCAAGTGAGGGAGGGACTCCATTCCTTGCGGAACGATTCTACACCAAGGAACACTCTCCAGCTACGATCAAGCGATAGACCGCTGGTTTGCCACCAAAGCAATGAAGGTATGAGCCATATACGTCTTATATTGCAATTATTATGTTACAAAACAGCGAGATTGAAATTGCAGATGAAATCATAAGAGAAATGAGTTATGAAGGAGATAATTCAGTGGCGACAACACGCCCGAATGGTCGGCGATCTTTTTGACAACGTGGCTGCGCTAAGACCTCCTTAACCCATTTCATGTATCTGAGGTTCGTCTTTATTCAGTAATTTTGCACGTTCATTAGCATTTCGTCATCTTTCTTTGCAAGTAGTTTTCTCAAGAGCACCTCAAGTATAATAAAGTCAACGATATTCGATTATTCTGGAAATCGAATATTCGAGTGGCGATCATTTCATCGAATGTCTTTTTGAATAACTAGCTCATTGCCACTGAACAGCTTACTATGTACAACTCCAAATTAAGAGGTTGTTGATTGCAAACTTTCTTACATTTCGACATCAGACTACGTTTTTGTCATTCGTCTGCTACTTAGAAGAAATATTTTCCCTTTCAAATTTAACATTTAAGGAAAAAATAGCAGCTACCCTATTAATGACTCCCGTGCAATTTAAGCGCCTGTGATTGGCTGATATTTGCACATACTTTCTAAAAGTTCGTTTCTATGAGCTCCTTTCATTTCTTCCCACATCAGCTTTACTGCCAAAGTGAGAGATTATTTTGTCTGCTGGGTAAAAAAGTGATTAGCTTGTTCAGCATGGAATGTCTAGTTTCGCACCTGGAAAGTTCAGTAATCCCTTTTTTAGAAATAAGTTTTTTTCACGCTTTTGTAGACATCATTTTCAACTTCTATGGCTCTTTCTATACTTGCTAGCGCTAGACTAACCATGCAGTCCACCAAATCTCTTTTCGTACTATGAATAAAAGCTGCATTCTTTTTTAACGTTGTTGGCTCAGTAGGTTTATACCTGTAAATAGATCCATATCGTAAAATGCCTAAGGTCATCGCTAATAGCAAGGGAATGTAGGCATTTAAGAACTCAAACGGGGGATAAGTCTTTCAACAAAAAGAAAAGAGCTTGAAAGTGTGTATAGGAATAATTTCCCGTAGATATTAATATTATTATTAAATATATTAAAAAATATTAAGATCACATGGTATTCACAAATAAACCTTCTTTTAACAAAAAAATTGTTAGCCACTTCTATATTGGAAAACTGGACATGGTCATTATACCAGGAGCCTAAATACGACGATTCGACGCCGGTTCGTTGATGTCAGAAATTAGTCGGGTTATACTCTAAGTTATCTAAATTCTCGGCTCCTTTCTTTCCAGTGTTTTGAAATTTGTCTATCAAACTGATTAACTCCTATAATAGAGTTTTTGTGATGAAATTCGTTACCGTTGTCAGTTTGTCGTGCACCGGAGTCGGCGTCAATTGGGTCAACCTTAGGTGGGCCTCGCCATCACGGCGCTATCGGTCTCTCCAGTCCGTTGTGAGAGAGTTGCCCATGACTCTGATCTCTTTAGGAGATATGGGTAGCATGTATACTTTTCTTCAGTAATAATAATAACATAATGGCTCAATCAGCAAATCTTCGAGAAATGGAGATTATGCTAAGGCCCGCACAACCAGTGAGGACGGGCCGTTTAGGTACCAAGTTGATAATAATGAACGGTAGTAATAATAATGAGTAATAATTATAGCAAGGAATAATAATAACAATAACATTAAACAATAATAATAATAATAATGATAATGAACAACAGTAACAATAACGAGCAATAGTGATAATAATGATAATACCTGATACTTGACACTTGAACGGCCCGCCCTCACTGGTTGTGCGGGCCCCAGCATAACCACACCACGGGCAGTCGCAGCCCTTGTGGATCTGAGGGAGATTTGCCACCATGCGACTAGTTTGATACCAGGACGGCGGCAGATCCTGGTATTGGTTTACTCTTGACTAGGCTTCCTGATGAGCGACTCCTTCTCAACTTGGGAGATCCTGGGAGGAGGGGGGGTGGGGGGGGGGGACGAACATCACAATCCGGCACGGAACACCTCCCAGCCACGATGAGGCGGTAAACCGTTGGGAGGATGTACAATATTTACTCGCGTTTAATTGAACGTAGAAAGTTTTATGCGCTAACTATGAAAATAAAGAATTGCCACAAAGTTTAAAAATATTCGAATTTCGATTTGGTTGATGATGTCATAGACTGGTTAAAAATAAAAGTGATTCCTGCACATTATGTATTCACAAGAAGAGCTTCTTCTTTTTTCGCTTTATCCTTTTATGTTTATTTTTCTTTTTTGGAGTGGTGTTTTACATTTTCGCTTTTTATTTCACATTTATGTTGTTTTTTATTTTGTATTTTATTCTATTTGTCTATATTTTATACACCTCTCAACGGTTTACCTCCTCATGGTGGCTGGAAGATATTCCTACGTGTCGAGCTGCGATATACAGTGGAGGATTCATCCCCCAGCAAGGCCTTTCATGCTGAAGAGGAGTCCAGCGTTTCGATCAGGATGCTCTGCTAAAACTAAACCCACACCAGCATCCACTATCGTCCTAGTATTAAACTAGCTACATGGTGGTAAATCTCCGTCTAATTCCCAAGTACACGGCGATTGCACAATGTGGTGGTGTCGACCTGGGAAAGACTTTGGCTAGGCTAACCTCTGGATTCCAGGGAACCACGATGGCTAGACCAGCAAAACTCCCAAAAAAAAAATTGGAGATTATGTTAGAATCGGCACAACCAGTGATGAGGGGCCACCTATGTAAGTAAGTAAGTAAGTATGTCTTATATTAATTAATATTAATTGGAGTTCATTTTTATTCCATTTTTTATTTAATTCATTATTTTGTGTTTTATTTCATTCTTTTTGCTTTTTTATGAAGGTTCTGAACTAGGAAACTATAAGGGCAGTCAATACGGGAACTTGTCAGTACTTCAACATGTGAACGACGATTATGACAATTTTGCCAGCTGCTGCTCTAATGTGGTCGGCTTCGTGCTCTTGAAAATCAGGTAGTGGTTCAACATATCGATTTCGGCCATATGGGAAAACTGATTGAACCATTTCTAGGATTCGAGGACGAAGTGAGAGATGAAGTCATTTCCAGAACGATGCCATTGCCTCCAAGGAAATGGGCTCACCTTGCCTGGTTAGTACGGCTTTCTCAATCTTCGTTTTATTTATTGTTTCCATTTGTTGTTTTGATGTTTACTATTACTATTACTATTATATGACATGCTCATACTTGGTTTTTAGTTCATTGAAATCCAGCAGTGATGACTGGGAGACTATTCGCAAGCACTTTCTTCACAAGCAGAAGCCGACATCAGTTGCAGAGTTGAAACGAAGGTAAAAACATACCTCAATATGTCAGATGTTAGGTGTGCTATTTAATTTCTAGTCATTTGATTAGTAATTTAAAACCACTTACCATTGTCGTAGTTTACGTTGTGGTTTCAGTAGTTCAATGATCTCGATCCACCTGCCGTCGATGAGTTATTTTCTTTGGCACTGTGTTCAGTTTAGTAATGCTTGGTATTTTACGTTGTGTGCACTTTATGTTAATAACATTATGGAGGATTGAGATGTGTGGTCAGGCTTCGCGTTTCAGATCGTCACTGAATAATTTGCTATTGAGTTGGAGAATCACTGGCGCTAGATAGGGCACAATGCAGTTGAGATCCCAGATAAAATGCCAGAACAGGTTCCTATGGCTTGGTTTCCTTTTGGTTATTTACTTCGGTATTATTAAGGCTGCTGGCAGACGTCTTACCCAATGTTTTCCAGTAGTTCAATAAGCCCACCCTCTCTGGTCTTTCTGTGAAAATGTCAAGGGAAAGCATCCTGCCTTACTTAAAGGTGAGTCGAGACACTTGCCTCTTAGTTCTATTGACTTAACATTTCAATTTACCAAGGAATGTCATCGTCACATTATGCTTTTGAGGAAGTTTTTCACCCACAAGCGGTCAAGTGCATTAGATTCAGTGCATCTCCTTTGTGGTTGTTTGTTTGGTTCTAGCGAGCTTCATCCTTTAGTTCTTGTGAGTTCTTGCTCATCATTCAACGAAGATATTGTGATAGATGTTGTCTGTGAAAACCAATTCTCTGCGCTTATAATTTGTTCCGTCTATGTTGTCTATGAGTTCCATGTTGTGGTAGTGATAGGTCACATGTTTTTAAGATTTCGAGGTACTCATTTATCGTTTTGAGTTGGTCAACGATATAATTCTACAGGGTCCGAGCATGGCTAGAATTGAACTCGACTGATCCTTCGATGAACTCTGGCTGGTTGATGATGGTGACACTTCTAAAGACATTGCTTATGAGGAATTTCCTGAATAGAACAGAGAATTTGCTCACTTTGCACTAGGTACTTTGTATTACTTCATTATCCGCTTTTTTAACATCGTTCTTGCTTCTCCGCTATTGCTTTCATTTTTCATCGCAGTCTTCCTGTTGAGTGATTGAAGTTTCTATAGAATCGTTATGAAAGGGAGAAGCCGAGGACAATGTGACATGTTTTTTTTTCAAGGAAACTAGTGAGTATTTGAATCTTTCCTTGATATAGTTCTCACGAATCTCTCTTTCCCATATTTAGGCACATATCTCTTCTTTCACATAGTCACCTCATGTTTTCTAGTTGCATGGGAGATCTGTTGCTACTACCTGACCTAATCTCCGTTGACAACATCATGGCACAAATACAACGAAGTTGTTGTTGTTTTCCAATTGTTCAGTATGCATTATTGATTGCTCATGAGAAGCGATTATGTGTTTATGTGATGTAGTTTACGAAATAAATGTTCTTATACTCCTCTGATTGTACTAAGCCTTCTTTCATGTTCCGATGGATAGTAGAATTCATACAGTGGCTAACGCGACTGATCCTTCTAGTGGTTTTCCGGAGGGAAACTGATTAAAGAGAGCCTGCTATTAGCACCAGGACATTGCTAGCACTAGTCGCTGCGTTGTCCCCACTATATGTAAAAAGGATAAAGCCTTCGGGATAGATCAGACTCTGAGGGAAGCGCCAGGCGTTCGACTCCATTCGTAGTAACGTTAGAGGCGATCGAATATAATATATCTGAGCTCTACAATGACTTGCGGTGGCGTGCCGATGTGTCGAATTAGTGTTACAATCCTTCCAAACAGATCTCGCACGAATTTGCCGAACTCGAAATATTGGAAGGCTTGGTGACCCTGGGTCGCGGATCGACCGTGGCTGCATGACAGGGCAGACCTGACAACTGTGCAGCACGTGCAATTCGGTAAAACGTAAAAAATAGAGAAGAATCACTGAGGTAAAACACACAAAGGAGAAACCCGGCACCAATAGACATCTTCGGATGGCATCTACAGCTTAAATTTAGACATCTACAGAATACAGTTCTTACTGCTTTGTTATTATTGGCGTATGGATTTAGAGCAAAACACACCATATCCAAAATCAAGTTTTCGGTCAAAGCAAATATCAATAAAGAGCGCGGGAATTACGAGCACCCACTTCATCTGGCGCTCTCATAACCTTGTTCGTTGCCTTCACCACTGGACATTTGACAAATCGTTCATTATTCGCTTCTCATTGCTAGATACAATTTTCTTTCCCAAATATGTGAGCCATCTTCGAGAATCTCAAGTACCTCCTATAACTAATTATTTGGTGAATGCATTTTTTGGCCAAAACATGTCCAGACACGTGTCTCCGCTCCTCTGATCCCTTCCTTGAATTGTGCTCCTATTAATTTTTCTTATGAGCGCAACTGCAGCTTTTTATCTTACTCTGACGAGCTATTCGTTCAGAAGTCGGCCGCAGCATTTGGTTCGGAGTTCCGGACGCCATCGTCGCGCTGCTCGCAGCTTCTTCGTCACCCGATCCTCTTCCTCCTCCTCTTCCTTACAGCAAGCCGTTGACGACGACGAGTAATACACGTAGGCAGAATAATGGATAAAAGTGAGATTTATGATCATAGTTGTACGACGTCTCGTTATAGTGTATTATCTCCTCTGAAAACACCTTTTAAGACAAAGACGTAAGTGGAGTTGCGATAGACCACGAAGAGCTGGCTCAGCCCGACCTAGCCACCATGGACGTTCGAATGGAACGCCTTGATGAGTTCGCGTATAGCATGAGGACTGTTGAGAAACAGCTGAGCATGAATTTTATCATTAATGTGTCACAGTATTCTGTGATCGTCTAATTATATCTAATTAGATGGATTTTATTAGTTTGATAAAGGCATTTATGGATTTTATAAAGCTATTTCCTGCAGGAATATCGTGAACTTATGCAGTGGGTGACAATGCCTAGTGATCACATGTGAGCAGTTGCCACGAGTCGGCATTTAGTGCTTAGCACTGGGACGGCGTCACGATGACTACAACTTTGAGGTTGAGCTGAGTTAATTTTTCGTTTACTTGGATACTTGGATGGTCCATCTTCGCAGCTTATGCGGGATCCAGCATAATTTCCACTTTTCGGAGTTTTGTGTTCCCCTGGAGTTCGGAGGTCAGCCGAGCCAGTCTTCCCCAGCTCGTCTGCTCCACACGCAGTGATCGGGCTTGTGGATCTGAGGGAGATTTGCCATCGTGCGACTAGGTTAACACCATGACGAGGGAGGATTCTGATATGGATTTACTCTTAGCAGGGATTCCTGATCGAAACGTTGGACTCCTCCTCAGCCTGAGAGCCCCTTCCGTGGAGATAAATCCCGGCGCTGTACATCACAGCCCAACATCGAGGAACACCTCCCAGCCACGATGAGGCGGTAAACCATTGGGAGGTATGTGAGGTTAGAAGGCAGAAAACTCGAATTCCAATTTCAGCACTGAATGCATCGGCAAATTTAGCCTCAGTGTAGATTTATAGAAGGGTTAGTTCATTTCAGAGAGAATTTACGTGATGCACACGCCATGTACGAATGGGCTGCATGTACAGAGGAGGACTGGAATGGCTTGGCGGTAAACTGCCAATGGCACGGAGTCAAGAATGCAATAACGGTTTGCACAGTGTTCATCATTTTTCAAAAAGCATACAACATTTGAGAAGAAGGTGAACCAAAGACATTAATTAAAAATGAATGAAAAATGATTGTAATAGGCAGGAAATAAAAAAATGGGTAAAGATAGGAAATAAAAATGAAGTAAAAAGTGAAAACAGGTTTAAGAGAAATAAAATAAAAAGATAAAAAAATGAATAAAAATGGGTAAAGACGGGGAATAAAAAATGACATAAAAATAAAAATAGAATTAAAAACAAAATAAAAATATTAAAAAATGGATAAAAATAGATGAACAAAAATAGTTATAAATAACGTGAAAGTAAATAAAAAGATGGAAATGTACTGAACACGAATTAAAAATAAACCCCAAAAAATTAAAAAATAAAAGCTGAAAGGATAAAGCTCTCGGCGTTGATCAATCCCTTAGGGATGCGCCATTCATTCGACTTCATTATGCATAGTTTGGAGGTGATCGAATGCATATCTGGCCTTTACAATGACTCGCGGTGGCCTACCGATGTATCGAGCCAGTGCTACTGTCCACCCAGACAAGTCTGGTACCAATTAGCCGACCCAGGAGTGATAGAAGGCTGCATGGGCGGAGGGATCGATTCCACATATGTGTCGCAGTGGCGCCTCCAACCACTACGCCACACGCGCACTAATTGTTCGCTAACAATTAAAAACTAATTAAAATAAGTGAATAATGATTTTATATTAAAATTCTAAATATTTTGTCTTTTGCAGAATTTTGGACATAACTTTTTTCCATTTCAATATTACTAGGTAGTGACACAGATTAGCGCTCGTCAAGCGGAATTGAAAATTGCGTATACTGAACTTAACCAGGAATTCAATAGAAGACGCACAAAACTCGTTAGAATGAGCAAGTTATTAGACAAAGATTCATAAGGGCATGCAGCGGTGACCTTGTAACGTTTTCTTTTTCAAAAACACTTCCTAGATAAGAATAAAGAAATCGCCGACAATGAGAATAATCACGATTGGCAACTACTCACCGAACTAGACCAAGGTTTGTTGGTGGAGTTCATCAACAAGTCGCCATTTGCAGTGAGGCCCACTCTCTACAACCACTCACTGATGAGGTTGCCATAACCAGTTCGACTTGACACAGTTAACGGTGGCTTCTGCAACTCAAACCCACCGGTTATAATAAGTATTCCCAAAATAGAAAATATTCCCAAAATGAATGCGTTGTTTTCTTGTTCAGCAATCGCGAGGTTTTTAAACAGCATACATTTACTTCCATAGAAAACACAATACAATACAACACTAGCTGACGTTTCGGCAGTATCGCCTTCTTCAGAGCCTGGAAGAGTATACTGATATACAATCTACGAGGCCAAACGCTTCAATAACACTTACAAAAATACGAAATTGGGTCCAAGTTTTGCACCATCACAGTCCATTTCTAAAACGACCCTGCATAGGATAGCATGCAACCTTATGAGCTTCAAGATCGACTCCGCTATCAGGCCAAGCAAGAAACATCAAATAGAGATAAAAATCAAAAGGTGGCGGCACTACCACCATCTCCTTTCCCAAAAACGTTTTTTAGACAGTAGGATCTTAACGACAGAGTAGACATAAAATTCCGCACGTTTTCGGATGGCGTTCTCAAGACCCTTGATCACTACCGCGACAGTAAGTTTACCTCTAACCTTACAGCCGCACAAAAATGTGGCATGCGGGAAATTGGGGAATTAATAAACTCGAAAACAATAAGATTGTCTGTTAGTGATAAGGGGGAAGAGTTCGTAGTTATCCCTCGCCAGCTGGATGTTGAGATAACAGAGGAACATCTTAGTGATGCTACTCTCTATCGCCCATCCTCTGAAAAGGAATATAAAAGTCAATACCGAAAACTAAACAATCAATGGGTCAGCGTGGCAAAGGCTGCGGGTTTAAAATCATCGGTTATTTCGCACTTTAAAATCGATAGACCAACATGTCCCGTCCTATACCTACTTATTAAAACACATAAGTTGGTATCACCTGATGATCATGCGTCAACCAATCCGTCATCATTTAAGGTTAGACCGATCATCAGCTGTGGAGACGGGCCAACGGATAGAATAACCTGGTTTTTAAGCCTGATACTCACCCAGTTGCTTAACCACATTCCAGCCCACCTCACAAACACCCAAATGTTCCTGGAACGTCTACGTAACGCGTCTCCCAATAACGCGTACGTGATGGAGTCTTTCGACGTTACCGCACTGTACACCAACGTATCGAATTACCCCGCAATGCAAGCCATCCTCGAACTTCTTGTTGAGCATGAAGGACGAATAAATATGCATGACTTATCCATCCAGCAGCTTATGGTCCTCCTAAAGGTCTGTTTAAACTGCTCGCTTTTCAGATGGTCTGAGAAATATTTCGCGCAAATGAGGGGGTTGGCAATGGGACAACGACTGGCACCAAGCCTTGCCATTGTGTTTATGTCTAAGATAGAAGCCCCTGTTCTCAATCTCGGACCACTACTCTACTGCAGATATGTAGATGATTGTTTTGTCGTCTTCTGTACGCAGGAGGAGATGGACAAAAGCTTTGAATTATTGAACGAACAGTCCGACTACATAAAGCTCACCCGGGAGAAACCGAGAAAAAACTGGCTTCCGTTTTTGAACGTTCAAATGAACCTATCAAGTAGCAGTTACTCGACAAAGTGGTACCGAAAGCCAAGTAACAAGAACATCCTCGTTCATCTCCTTTCTTCCCACCCCTCACACACAAAGAGGGCGATTGTGAGAAACATGTTTCGAACAGCCACCTCTGTGTGCACTACCAGGGAACTAAAGGAAGAGTCGTGCGACTTGGCTCGGCAAATAGCCATCTCCAATGGCAACGAAATAGTAACCCTACGAGACAAGTTTAGAAGGAGAGCGACGCGCCCACGCGAAACACTTGGCCAAAAGAAAGTACCGTTTAGGTTGTCTTTTATAAGCGGTAACGTAAGCGTAGCTATAAAACGATGCTTAAGAAGGGTAGACCTAGAGGAATCGGTAGCGATAGTTGAAATACCGTCGGCTACTCTACGTCGTCAATTAGTTCGCAACCGCCTGTATGACCGTCTATGTAAAACAACAATTTGCGTAATTTGTCCTTACGACAGGGACGGTGATTGCATGTGTTCAGGTACGATATACCTAATCTCTTGTAATAATTGCGGAGATGAATATATTGGCGAAACAGGCAGGCCTTTGTGTATCCGTATAAAAGAACACCTAGATGGCTAACGAAAACTAAGACGAAGCACCCCACTAAGCACGCATAGGATACAAAAGCATAGCAGAGACGATTTTGAAGTAAAAGTCAATATCCTCGCACAGGAGACTAAAACACCAGCGCGAAATCTTGAGCCTTTTTGGATAAATAACAGATACCCCACAATGGATAGCAGGGATGAATGCCCGGAGGTTATAAGCGACCTGACCTCATATGTTCGCATCGATTTTTGATGTGGGATGGTGCAGTCATCAACCACATGCGACTATAATCAGCTGTTCTAAACTTCCTCATTTGAAGTCATGAAAAAGCGATGAGTTTTCGAGAAGCTGTTGATCATGTAATTACCATAGAGTTCTTCGTCTTTTTGTAAGTGTTATTGAAGTGTTTGGCCTAGTAGATTGTATATCAGTATACCCTTTCAGATTCTGAAGAAGGCGATACTGCCGAAACGTCAGCTAGCGTTGTATTGTATTGTGTTTTTCTATGGAAGTAAATGTATGCTGTTTAAAAACCTCGCGATTGCTGAACAAGAAAACGACGCATTCATATTCCGATGCCAAGGTTAATAGAAAGTCGATCCTGGGAACTATTCCCAAAAATATTTCCTATATTGTCGTGTGTTTCCTATGTATGTATAGCAGCCATATTTACTAGCAAACACATCTTGCCTTCCACGTTGTGCAAATCGTTACTTAGCCACCATCTCATGCACCTGCATCTGCTGTCCAAATGTGCATTCCGTATAATCTTTTGAATCGGTGTCTTATGAACTCTACGGAAACACGGCTTCTTACATACCGTCTCGTCCGATGTACTTTTCCGCATGTAATATGTCTTGTTTTAAAACAGCTCTATTAGATTGCAGTGGCTGATAAACATCCTAGAATCTCCTTTTAAGCATTGTATCTAGTTCCTTTTATCAAAACTCCGCCCATTACAGAAGG